AATCACCCACCCTTTCCATACATTGGAAGAGATTTCCGTTTCCTTCTAAATACCATAACAATCTTCCTTAGGCAAGTGTTCAACCCGGTATGACAGCTGACCCCATTTCTTCCACGAGACATGAAGTTCAATACACCTGCAAAAGCACAACAGATCAAAAAGGCTCTCCTTAGAAACCTGCATCTTAATGTCTCCTTTCACCTAAAGAAAGTTTTAATTACGAACATTTGGTAAACGACTTACCAAATGCTCTGCACAAATGCCACCCAGCACTAGCAGAATAACTGCACATAGTAGGTGCTTAATAACCGTTGAACAAACAGATGGGTGGGTTAAGGGATAAACAAATGAACAAATGAGAATTCTCCTCTCTTCTCTTCTCTTCTCTTCTCTCTCTCTCTCTCTCTCACACACACACACACACACACACACACACTAACTGCCCCCACCCCCAAGAATGAGCTAACCACTTTCTAATTCATAAAGAAGCTCTCCTTCCTGCAAGAGCCAGGAGTGGGGGCCTGTTTCCTCCACGGTCCCGCCCCTCAGTGCAGGCCGTTTCCCGCCTTGGGGTTTCGTCCCTGTCCCTTTACTTCCCTATCAGTCTGTAAAGCCCTTGAAGTCCGAACAGTGTTTGGGCCAGTTCTCACGCGCCTATGCACACCCAGGACAACAGTCACAGCTGGGGAGCTGGGCTCCAGCCCGGTTCTGCCCTTCCTTAGCTGGGGCTGTCACATTCTTAGCCGTTGCCCTGAGAAAATGAATCCCTAGTCCCAAACAACGGATTTACTAATGAGCTTTCCAAACAAACTGGACATTTTCTTGAGAGAACAGTTTGAAAAGAAGAGCCTACGGTTCAATTGCTTCTCAGGTGATCATGGCCTCCCGACATGACTGCGGCGGGCACGGGTGGGGGTGGGGGAAGGTAAACAGTCTGTCCTGCCCAGCTTGGGAAAGTGTCTGTTAGAGTCATCTCCAGAGGTGACTATGTTCACAACCCAAAATGGGCAAGGGACCCATCTCAGGCACACCTCCGGGAGGCAACCTGGGCCTCTCACGGATAAGAAGAGTGAAAGGAAACGCGCCCAGAAGTGAGCGCTCACTGGGTGGCCAGTCTGGTGTTTCCATGTCTCCCACACATGGCTGGATGCTGTGGGTGCACGCACTGCTTTCGGTCAGATGACACTTCACCACGTTGGCCAAGTCACTCCTAGAGGCATGACCGTCACAAGCCCCAAGTCACTAACTCCAACAAGCCTCTCCCACACCTTACAGATGGGGACTGCGGGTGGGGTGGGGTGGGGGGTGCATCAAGGCTACATACTTAGCCAGATCCAGCCCCAGAATTTTTCTCCTTGGCTAGGAAACCTGCTATCCACTTCCTCGTGGCCAGAGGCGGTAGAGCAGTGGGCAGGTGCTGGTTGTGGAGGACAGCTGGCCTGTCTGAATCTCTGGGGGGGGCACTTCACAGCTAGGCGACTCTGGGATAGAACTTACCTCTCTGGACCTGACTTTTTCCCCTGTGTAAATGTGTACCACTGTGCCACCTACTTCATAAAGTGGTTCAGAGATTAAAGATGATGTTTAACACTTGCTCACATTCAGCAGATACTCTTAAAGAATAGCTACTGTTTCGGTTTATATTATTTTATTGTATATAAGCATCCAGCTTTAGATACAATACATTAAAGAAAAATCTTCACCCTCACAAGGGATCCTTTTTCCACATCACAGTAAGACCCACTGCAACATTCTGGTAACTAGCTCATTCCCTTAGTGCAAATAAAATAAAATTTCACTTACAAACCTTTGTCCCATGGTAATACTATTTTGATTGTGGAAAGTGACATAAACCAGGGAGGTAACGTTGTGGCTTCTGCGGTTTGAAACGTTTCAGAGAGCTCTACCCTCGGCACAAGGTACTAGGGCAGTGGTTCTCAACCTTCTGGCCCTTTAAATACAGTTCCTCATGTTGTGACCCAACCATAAAATTATTTTCGTTGCTACTTCATAACTGTAATGTTGCTACTGTTATGAATCGTAATGTAAATATTTGATATGCAGGATGGTCTTAGGCGACCCCTGTGAAAGGGTGGTTCGACCGCCAAAGGGGTAGCGACCCACAGGTTGAGAACCGCTGTTCTAGGGGGTTCAGAAGACAGCTAAACCAGGGAGTCCTGCTAGGCGCAGCTCACTTCTTGAGGGAGATTAAGGCAACAGAAATGATGGCTCAGAAGGGAAAGGCCAGCGATCGCTGTATGTGCACATTTACCCCCAGAGGCAACGAGGCAGGCGGGCTCTCCGCCGGGCACCCAGTAGCTGACAGGCTTTGTGCATGGAATTTGTCTGCTGGGAGGAAAGTCTGATGTTGGTCACTTCCCCTCCAGAGAAAAATACAACAATACGAGGAAGCGCCAAGCACTGTGGGAATGTTCCAAGTGGGAGTTCCAGCTCAGTCCAGAACATAAACAAAGGGGAACCATCAGCCTGGAGGTCAGGCCCGCAGAGCACTGAGGCAGAAAGTCTGGTAGCCAATCTTCTGGGGCCAAAAAGACCCTCCTTTGAAGTGACTTCCTGCCCAGCCCTGGAGGAAATCATCGAAGGCAAAGGCCCAGCTCTCGAAGTGTGTCACAGGAAGCAGAGGTCGGATTCTCTGCGCCATACTCTTAGCCACAGACCAGTCTCAGAATGTCAGGGCGCAGGGAGAGTCAGATAACATGCACAAAGAATCACTTAGTTTCCACTGCGATCAGTGCTGAGAAGTTCCGGGCAGGGAACACATCGAGCAGGGTGACCTGATCTAATCTGGGAGGTCAGGGAAGGCTGAGACTGAAGGATGAGCATGAGGTGACCAAGCAAAGAGGTGAAGAGCATTCCAGGCAGGAGCAGCATGTGCAAAGGCCCTGTTAGTTGTCGGTATGTGAATGGCAGAAGGTCAGATGAGGTAGGGCCTTTCCACCGCATTTGATTAAAGTCTCAAAAATTTCCAAAAAGCTAAGAACTACAGAGCTAGTCCAACCCTCTCATTCTGAAATGAGGAAACTGAGGCCCAGAGAGGGAAAGACATTTATTTCCCCAAGCTTTCACAGATGGCCAGGGAACCCAAATCGCTGACTCCCAGGCTGGTGTTTTTCCACAGTTAACCAGCTGCCTTCTTTCCGGCAGGGGTGTGTCAACAACAACAAAGTGCTAATCCTCACTGAATATTGATACTGTATCCCAAACAAGGCTGCTTTGTTTCTCTGTCCAGGCAGGACTAGAATGACACTCTACAGAAATGAACTGTCAAGTCGGCCAGGCCATCTTTCTTGGGGTCCAACCTAACCTGCAAATTACAAGGGGTTAGAACTCACCCCCCACCTCCAATTCCAGAGCACCCCCACAAGAAAGGCAGTCACAGCAGTCAGGGCTGGCCGAGAACTAAATCCCGCCTGCAGGCCATGAAAGGGAGAAGCCCACGCCTCCCATTTTGTCAATTCCACCTGGAACTGAGAGAAAAACTTTTTTAAAGTGAAAAATAGTAATTTCCTTCTCTGCCAACAGAGAGAATGGGACCCAACCCCAGTTCAGCTGACCCTCCTGCGGACTCGAGGGGCTTGGCCCTGGGCGTGTTCCAAGCCCCTCACCAGCACAAACTCGTAGAACTCAGTGGTTCTTCCCCCAGTGTCTCCTTATCCAAACCAGGGCACCTGTGAGTGACAGGAGGGTGCTATTAATAACTGTGCCAGGACAGCAGGTGAAGCCAGGATGTGCGATCATCACCCCATCTGTCACAGTCTACATGAGCACAGTGATCCTCAGGTAATGCCCTCTGCTGCCCGACATCTCGCTATGAGGCCAGGACTCGCCCGAAGGGAGAGCTCAGGCCAGTCGCAGTGAGCGCCCTGAGAGCAGAAGCACTGGCTTATCCATCCCATGGTCCCAGCACCTGCTGCCAGGAGCTGTAGACAGTAGGTGCTCAAGAAACCAGCTGAAAGAATGAACCAATGTTTCATATTGAATTCCCTAATTCTAAGAATTCCCTCTTTAGTTCAACTTTTGAAATCAGTGCATTGCTTCATAGTCTATCTTGCTAATGTATTTTATTTTTCTTTGTTTCCTGGGAAGTACTATGTGTTGGTGCTGTGGTATCAAACAAACACAGTAACTGCCTTTCATCCAAGATTCATACAGAAATGGGTTAATGATACTCCTGGGACCAGAGAGCCCATCATGGCAATCACGACCGGGCAGGCTCTGTGACCTTCAAATTCTTGGAGAAGACTTGAGTTTGCTTCTGGATCTTGATTCAGAGTTCAACCTCTCTCTTCCCCTCCTCCAAGTCAGTGACACTGTCTCACGCCTGTGGCCAGTAGCCTGGAGCCCTGCTAAACAGCTGGAGTAAATGCCATCTGTGCTGTTAACCCAGAGGACGTGCCGCCAGGGGATCCAGGCAGAGCCTCACATGGAAGCCACCAGGAGTCCCAGTGTCTGTGAATAGCTGACATGCAGTAAGCACTCCTCCGTGCCAGGCTACCGCCCCCCCCCCCCCGGCCCAGGCTCTGGGGCTCTTTAGGCCCCTGTCCTTCATCAGCCCCTCTTGGCACCAACCTATTTAGACAGATACAGGACAGGAACCAAGGTTGCCAGAGGGCAGCTCTGGACGGTAGCCTGTGAGGGTCCACGAAGGAGCTCAGCACAGCTGAGCAGCTCAGGTCCAACGGGACGAGATCCACATTTGGTGGGCCCGGGTCCACCCTGGCTTCAAAGCTTCCTGCCCGCAGCAGCCAGCACCTCATCATCGCACAGGACCCCTCCAGGGACACGCTGAATGGCACGAGTCACTGCTCTCAAGAGTGCGCTGCCCGCCAGGTGTTTACAGTTCGCCTGCTGTCCCCGCCCAGGTGGAATGCATTAGACCAGGGCATGTTTACCAGAAGCATTGGTCCCAGTAATACAGTTGTCATATGTCATCATGTTTTTAATGTTCTAATATAATTTACTGTATTAAGATACTTCAGGTTAAATAATGATGATGTAAAGATTGGAAAATATTTGTTGTCAATGGTAATTTTTTACCAATTGTGGTAAATATACATAACATAAAATTTACATTCTTAACCATTTTTAAGAGTGTGCTCTTAATAAGTACATCTCAGAATAAGTACGTTCATACTGTTGTGTTACTATCAAGAACTCTTTTGTCTTGCAAAAGTGAACTTAAATATTAATTAGGTGCTAAACATGAACTCCCCATTCTCCCTTCCCTCAGCCCCTGACAACCACCACTGCACTTACTAGTATTTTCTGTCTCTCTGATTCTGATTA